AGAAATAATTAGATGAGGCAGGGCTCCGTATGATAGGTCAATTCACTAGATCCCAGGATCTTAATTCTCATCCTATACACATGTATGCCTCAATTTTATATGATCAATTATAAATTATTATAGATTACAAATAAATACTTATGACTTAACTAGAAAATTAAAAAAGCATAAAGTGAATTATAATCCAGGAATATAATAAACTCTTTCTCATTCCTTTATATATAAAACAAATATCTGAAATAAAACTTACAGTAGTGTTATCTAATGAAGTTGCTACTGTGGTGGTAGTAGTAGTGGTCGACGATGTTGATTCCTTAGTAGTAGCCCAACCACTTCCTCCACTTGGCACAAGACTGACAGCCGGATCACTGCTGCTAGTTTCGCTTTTTAAACTGGGCAAGTTAGCCGGAGGACGCCGTGCCGAAGGCACCTTTCCAAGACTTTGCATTCCATGTTTGCGCGGTAATGTATTTTTCTGCTGATGTGGCTCCAAAGATTCACCCTGTTTGAAATATCAATTGGAAACATTTAACTAGTTTGCACTGTAGACAAAAACTTTTTTTCTCGAATAATAGCATAAGTATTAAAAAAAATTGCACAAATGCTTAAAAACTATTTTATGTATGTAATATATTAATAATTTATTATATTCATATATTAATAATTAATATAATATATTAATAATTTATTATTGTCATATATTAATAATTAATATATATATATAAAATTAAAAATAATTATTTAAACTGACTTATCTAAGTTTGTATCGAGAGACATTTGTAAACAAAGGTAACTTTCAAAGAATTATTAAGAAAAAGTAATAAAACGTTGGCCAACTCACCCTACTCACCCGATACAAGCTATTGATATCTAATGATTGAAACTTGGATTTTCCTTTCTCCCCCTTCGACACAATCCCTGACAGAGTAGACATGCTGTCTGCACGCAACCATTTAGTACCAATCAGACCCAAAGAACGAACCCTTTGTCTGCAAGGATAAAATTATCTAAATATACTTTTTCTACTTTCCTCTTCTTTATTAATAATAAAAGTATAACTGTAATTTAAGAAAATCATGGTAAAGAAATTAATTATATTCAGATAAACATAATAATTTCAATACTAATCATATTTTGAAAAACTTTCTTGAATTACATAAAATATATTCTTTAAAATTTAAATAGATAGAATTAATATTATGTTCAATAATAGAGAATTTAATCATTATAAAAGCTACTTATACATGTATATATAATTTATAAGTATACATCTACAGTATTTATTCAATATAACATACAATCAAGCGAGAATTATGATACATTACAACAGATTGTAATATCAACAAAATAATCGTTATAATATATAGCACTATGTTCAAGTACTTCTAAACACACAATCAACAAGATCAACTTCCTATAACGCAGCAACGTGCCAGCTCTAATTCCATAGTAATTGGTCTCGGTAATGCGCGAAAGTAGCGTGGAAGAGTTTCTAAAGCGCACAAATGCCATTTGGCGAGGAAGTGCGTTAGCGGTACAAGTAGGCTCCGAGAAAAAGCTTTGTCTGTCAAGCTGACAGAATAAACCGCTCGCGCGGATGATAAAAAAGACCGAAGTAAAAGCGACGAAAATAACTCGTCGACTTATTGCGAACGCTTTATCTACCACGGTGCCACGACGAGGGGGCGGCTGACGAAGGGGCAGGTGTGCTCTCGAACGACCCAACCCCTCGGTAGCCGTGCTGATGTCAAAAGATCGCGAGACCGCTCAAAACAAGGCGCGATCTGCTCGAGTAAGTACGCGGTTCGCTCTCATCGAGAGAGAAAGAGAGAGAAAGAGAGAGAAAGAGAGAGAGACGGCCACGACGAGGCCGAGACGTGCTGTCGCGGTTTTCGCCGCGATAACGGTACACCCGTCGGAAGAGAGCGGACGGGCCGCGCGGGGAGGGCAAGGGGAGGGAGCGGACGAGGGGGAGAGGGGAGGGGAACAGAGTGTCGGGTACAGAGGAGCATCCACGTAGGAAGGACTTGGCGGCCCGTGGGGCCGCGGCGGATGAGGAAAATAACGACTTACCTTGGTCCGTCCAAATGGGTTGCCAATTCACAACAGGGTTAACTCCCGGTGAAACTAGATTAATGCGTGGATCGCCACGGATTACACACCACCTAACGACGACGGCACCGCGGCCTACGGGGACGCAGAAATACCTCTTTTCTACCAATTCGTCCAAGATGGCGAATGCGCGACTCTCTCGGGCCCTTCCTCCGCCGCGGATCAATACAATTACGTCACGCTCTCGCCAAGGGGAACGCGCGTTCTCACAGACGCGCCACTCGTCGGCGGATCCCGGCTTGGCCGCGACGTGGCTAAAAAAAACGATTCTCGCCCCCTCGCGTAAACGGATCCCCGCGATCGCGACTGCTGGTGAACCCGCTGTGTCTCGCGGTCCGTCCGACGATGCGTAGGTTACTCCTTACGGAAATGGAGCGCCCCGGGGAGATTCACGGAATCACTATTTCCGCTCACCACTGTCCGTTGTGCGTGCGGCAGGAGAGTGGACGCACGCAACACGAGAAATAGTGCGTCTCGCCACCGTCCGCGGCGCTGCTTCGCGCGAATTCCTTTCGTTCGCCACCGACGGGATCAAATCATCAAACGTAGGAGTTAGAACGCCACGCTTTTTTCTCATCGCAATTCACAACGAGATTTTCGTCGTCATTCGATGATTTAGCGATCCTCTCTCTCGAACGCGAAAACTTCGTTTACGCCTATAAATTCTTTTTTTTAATCTGCGAATCATGCTACTGAAGTATGAGCCAGACTTGGCCAGACTCTGACATTAATATTATCACTATCGATATAAAAATAATAATGCAATAATGATAATTATTAATTAATAATATAATAATTTAATATGTATTGCAATAGTATAAAATGTTATACTTCTATAGTCGGTGATCGTTACAGATGCTATTTGACTCCGGAATAAAACCACGCGCATCTCGTGCGCCTGCACTTCCTGCACTTCGGCACTTCTTCCTTCCGACATTTCGCACATTCTTGAGGATTTTAACAATTTTTGTCAATTCTCATAAGTTCTCACAAATTCTCGTTTGACCGCGCGAAAACGGTGAAAGTGCAAGGATTTAGCTGTGACAAAAATTCATTTGCTACCAAGTCTCCAAATTTTTGAAATTACTTTAGATTCTTCGAATTGAACGCACGACGCACTTACATAGTGAAAAATGGTACATTATTTATAATACTTTATAACCTATATACTTTATAACCTGTTTGCGATTTGAGTGATGGAAATGTTTTTTTTTTTAGAGCGTAACGTTGCATACGGACGTCGGTGATATCAAAATAGAAGTGTTTTGCGAGATGTGCCCGAAGACGTGCGAGGTATCAATGTTCTTGTATATTATTTTTTAACAATGTAATCCTATAGTCACTTAGTAAGGTATAACCTATATCTTCAGTTATTTTTATTGAATAAACTTATAGGAGAAACCAAATAATTCTGATGTAAGTCCTTGATTAGTATTATAAGTATTAGTTGTCTATCAATTAAACAAATACTTAACCGTAAACCTTTGAATCTATTATATTTCTGCAATAATAGAAGTATATAAGAAAAAGATAATAGGTGTAGATTATTCATAGATTATGTTCAATATAATATTATACAAAAGAACAGATTACAATCCAACTTGAGTTAAACATTCTTAGAGATCAGTTATACTTGTTTACAAAAAATCATTGAACTTATCTAGACCTATCTGTATCAATATTCTATTGTTATTGTAAGATCAACTGTTTGATATCATGATCTGTTAGACAAAGAGAAACAACAATAACGTTCGATCTCAAAGATTGATGCCAGTGTAATTAATTTAATGTTAATTATCATTTAAATTTTTATATATTTTTGCAACTTATATTTAAATATATTGTGCTAAATAATCCTGAAATAGAGTTAAAGATATATTAATTTAAACATTTTTAAAGACCGTGCTATGTGAGAAACACAATTAATAATAGAAATTAAAAAGCCTTTCACGGTCGAAGCTAGATCTATAATGCTTTAAATAATTTAATGTGAATTATATATATACTATATATATACTTGCATATATACCATATTTGTAGTCCTTCAAACTGCACGCCGAATTGATAAAGATATATTGATTCTGGGAAAAAAATTACTTTATAACACACAGAGACATTGACGTTCTTGTTTCAGAATTTTCTTGCGCTCTGCGCCAGTGGATACTATGACAATTGCTTGTTTCATCGGAATATAAAAGGCTTCATTGTTCAAACTGGAGATCCCACCAACACGGGTAAAGGAGGGACCTCAATATGGAATCGCAAATTTGAAGATGAATTTAAAGAGGAGCTTAAACATAATGCAAGAGGTCTTATTTCCATGGCTAACAACGGCCCTAATACAAATGGCAGTCAGTTTTTCATTACTTATGCGCCTCAATCACATCTGGACCTAAAATATACTTTGTTCGGAAAGTAAGTTTGTCCCTTTACTTAAGTTTATGCTACACTCAAAAATTTAATTAGACTGCCCAAGTATCATTTTAAATATTCTTATTGTTCAATGAATGTTATAGATTTAGAAGGATAACATTTCTGCACAGCCCTAATGAGAGCATTATAAAATCATGATGTTTTGTTGATTTTTATTGTTCATTTTTTTCGCAGAGTCATTGACGGTTTAGAAACCTTAGAACAATTGGAAAAACTACCGGTAAACCCTAAAAATTACAAACCACTTGCAGAAATCAGGATAAACAATGTAACTATACATGCTAACCCATTAGCAGGATAGACCTAAGTGATGAAATGTTTTTTATCATCCATCATAATAATACAAGTAATTTATACTATTTCTTTTATATATGAAAAAAATGTATGAAAAAAATGTATGAACAAAACGTTTGTGATTATTAAAACGTATATACAATTATTTTTCACAGATGATTTAGAATCGGAAGAAATAATATCAATAAAAAGTATTTTTTATATTGTATATACACCTAATAATCTCTTGTTTTGTGGATCGAATGGACTTCGAAGATACATCTTTGCGGGATACTTTTTCCTCCTCACTTCGATATGGTAAGTACCTGTTTCTAAAAATTCCTTTGTAACATTTTGTCCATTTGGAGCTGTGATATATTTGAATAATTAAAAAGATGTATATATTAATTTTATATATATATATAATATAGATATAGAGAGAGAGAGAGAGAGAGTATTCATGTCTGTTCATTATGCAATTTACTTACGCCTGTCCAATACTACTTTTAAAGGTATATCCATGTTCAGCCCTTCTTAGATAACCAACTAATTTATCGTTCCTATAAACGCTCTCCATACCCCATAATGGTATATCGCTGTAATTAAATAAGTATACAAATGTGACGCGCATTTTAAATATTGATACCAACAAGATATCAGTGTCAGATTGTATTATAAAACGATGTACTCACTCATTTATGTGTAAATGTACCAGTCTTTTTTTAATTCCATTGTTACGGCACTGATCAACAGATGTTTTTCCTAAGTACTTGCCGTTTTTGCGACAGACGATTTCTAAAGCCGCTTCTATTGGATTGTCATCCGTTCTTAAGTCTGTACCCCAAAGATGATATCCTAATAAATAAATTAACAATTAACACAGATAGTAAAAGATAAAAGCATTCTGTATATTACTGCGCACCTTTCTCGCAGCTTAAACTGTAGAATGCTCTGTAGCCGGCTAATTTCATATCATATTTTTTACCACATTCCATTAAAACTTTATAAACCTTTTCACACGAACTTCTTGGAATATGTAATTCGAAACCAAGTTCACCCACGAAACTAAGTCTAAATATGTGTACCAATTCACCATCTATTCGCACTAGTTTTGACGTTGAGAATGGAAACGATGTATTCGAAAGATCATCGTCGACTAACATTTGAAGAACTTCGCGGCTATAATAATAGTAAAATACAAAGTTGGCAAACGTTACTTTTCAGTTACTTTTTATAGTAAACAATTTGATGACGATGTTGCAATTTTTTTATGACGCTAACTAACTAAACGCTAAGGTTGTACTAAGATTAGAGAAGTCACTTTGAAAAGTAACTTGTCACTATTACGCGTTACATTGAAAAAGTTATAAGTATAACGAGTAATGCGTAACGTTACTCGTTACTAAAAAGTAACGCGTTACAAATTAGAAGTTATTTTTTTCAGTAACGAATAAATTTTTCAATCCATTACAAGTAACGATTGACTTTTCTAACTCTGCATTACCATCATAAAAATTCACAATGTCATTACCAAATCGTTATTATAACAAGGTAATAATCAACAAAGTAACGCATTACTTGCCAATCCTAGTAAAATATTACACAGACGATATATGAAAAATACTTTTTAACAATTATATATATCTGTTCATGTTTGCATTTAATTTTTTATACCTGTTAGGACCTTGAACTGATAAAATTCCTATTTGCTCCGTGACATTGTGCACAGATACATTAAAATCTTTTTCTCTTATTATACTGCTGATATGTGCCCATGTATGATACGATGACATGCCTCCACTCACTAAAATAAAAAATGAAAGTATCAATATAATCTAAAATAGGAATAAAATAATGCGTTGTAAATGCTCGATAAAATATGTAAACAAATACCTATATAAAATGCTTTTCCCTTAAATATGGGATCGACTATGCCACCCGAGCCAGATTCTAGACCAGTGACTGTACAATCGCCTTCTACTCCTCCTCTTTTATTCAACATGCAAGTGTATACAGTTCTGTTAATTTCTCGATCCACCTGAGACGTAAATATATAATCCACTGCTTTTTTCGTGTCTGGGCCGCATATGTAATGTTTTCCGAAGTACGATATATTAAATAAGGCAACGTTATTTCTACAGGCAAGTGCTTCCTCCCGTATCTGTTATAAGTACATAAAAAGAATTATCGAATCAATATTTTTAATCACGCAAAAACATTGTATGATAATTTTAGTCCAATTTTAAAAAAAGTAGGAGAGTTACAATGTTATCGTGCGGTGGAAAATTAAATGTACATTCTGTTTTTAATATATCGGCATATATGTCATTCGTATTCTTGGGTGTATCGTAATAGCCACCATAATCATAAGGTAACACTGGAGCCTTTTTGTCGTCTAGTAGGAACCATCCTGGACGTTCCCATCCTTGTCGTTCTTCCATGACGGCACCTTCATTGACGAGAAACTAAAAAAATAGCAATAATATATTGTGTTTGAATAAAAAGAATATGCAATCTAATTGAAAAATCAAACTTAAATTAACATAAAGTATAACTTACATTGTGGAAAGGATCTATCTTTAAATTTCTACCGCTTAAATGTTCGTCATGTGAGAAAACAATATTATAATTTTTTGCATAAGCTTCATGACTCCGTTCGTTCACCCAAACTGAATTTTTTCTTTGTTCTGGTATATATCTGGATTGAGAGAAAAACATACAAAAGTATTAATTGTAGATATTGATAAAATGATCCTGCATGTCATTGTTGCTACTTTGTATTTTACATTTTGCATATCGATATGTAAGAAACAAAGGGTGTTATGAAATAATGATTCATATATTTAAAAGTTAATTCGATAAATAAATATAAATATGTTATTGTTTTACAGTTTAAGATTCGAAGAAAATAATTTGAATAATCTTTACCGTCTGATGTCCTGATTGAACAAATGTTTGTCCGGTCGTCCATTAATTATCCATAATGCTATTTGTTCTCCACAACCACCTCCAAACATCATCCCGGCGCTATTATATCCGCAAGAGTAATAAAGACCTGTGCAGCGTGGATCTTCACCTTTCGGACATTATGGTATTTTAGATTTCATGTACATATGTCACACATAAGTATCGATCGTAAATTAATGAAATTTTGTACCCATGATAGGTCTGTGGTCGGGAGTAAAACTTTCTGGGCCGCACACAGTTGTCCTTATTCCAGCAGTTGCCAAAGTGGGTATCAATCGGTTCATCGCCTCTATATGAGTATTGAATACGTCCCAATTCAGCTCGTACAAACTAAAGGAAAAGTCTTCTGGCGGCTAGACAATACATATCGTTTGAGTTAATCAAGAGTACGTAAAATTTAAATTGTCTTGCACATATTTCTGCTATAACAACAATTAGGTTTAATCTTAACATACATTCAACTTACAAATTTCAATATGATAGGATTCGGCTCGTATCCTCCGATATTTATATTTCCACCTTGCACTCGAAAGTAGATATTAAAATCGGGATCTCGAATATTTGGCAACCCTCGTACGTTCATCGGCTCAGTAACAATGTATGCGTGTTTCATCGGTACCAATGGAATGTCCAGCCCTACCATTCGCGCTATTGCTCCGGACCATGCTCCTGCCGCATTTAGTATAACTTTGGTTTTTATTATACCATGAGGCGTTTCTACTCCGCGAATGGTTTTATGTCCGTCAATATCCTCTACGAGAATTTTAGTGACCGGACAATCTTCGATGACCTTAAAAAATTATATTTAGTTAGATTACTTTTCAACGATTAATTAATCATAATTTTTTTTATTTTAGTTCTAATCATTTTTATAGAACACACATCACTATCGAACAAATAACTATCAATTGCTAACTATAGAATTTGTTGTGAAATACAGAATTAATTTTATTATATAAATGTGTGTGTTGTAGAAACAGATGATGGCAATGAAGAAAATGGATAGAAATACCTTGCAACCGTTTTTTTCCGCCAATTTTTTCAATGCATTTACTAACATGGCAGGATCTATCGTACCATCCGCTGGACAATACATCGCAGCTTGAAACGCATTTTTATCTATGAGGGGAAATTTTTCTTTCGCTTCGACTGGATCAATCATGTACCCGTCGATACCGAAATTCTTACAGCTAGTAATTAATCTTTCGTATTCGACTACTCGCTCCTACGAAAAACACAACAGATATTCTCCGAGAAATGGATAAATATCAATTGCATAGATGTATTCCTACTTACGGGAGAATAAGCGATGTAGAGTCCACCGTTGTTTATCCATCCTGGATTTACACCTGTTTCTTCTTGTAAAGATGCGTAAAGCAATCGCGAAGCTTTTATCAATTCCGTCTCTACGTCGCATATTCCGCGTAAATGCCATAAGAGACCTGCTGTATGCCATGTTGTACCAGATATAAGCTTAGATTTTTCCAAAAGTATTGCATTAACTCCACGTTTTCCTAATTGATAAAGTGCATTGCAACCAGCGCTGCCACCACCTATATCATGGAAATTTTTATTAAATTTGTTAATAAACATTAATGTGTATCTATAAACGTTAAGACCGATTAACGTTAAGATATTTATTTCTATTTGGTTCTTCATGCGAAAAACGATATTGTTAAAAATCATTTAATTAATTTTAATTAATATAATATACATTACTAGGAATATTCAATTGTTATCTGAACTGTTAATCAGCAGATTGATATGGCTTTCTGTTTTGTTTCTGCAGATATAAACTTAGTTACCTATTATTACAACGTCGGCATTGTTGGGAACATCGATGTTCTTTGTCTCGTTTTCTTTAAATGTAGCGACCGTTCGGTTATTTCTAAGACCCCATTTAAGTAACTGAAGTGAAAAGAAATATTGGTATAATACGGTTTTTAGCTTGTTAAAACATAAATAAAACCATCTTTGCGATGTATCGTTGAACACATTAATTTCAAATCATATACCTTGTTCCTTGCTAAACGAAGCATTTCGTATGCCTCGCAAAGACAGCTTGTGTGCGACTGCAGATTGAACTACAGTCTCTGTGCTAGCTGTGGTTCATTCTTACAATCACATTGTTTACAACATATACGTACGTACATTATCAAAGAACTTGCTATTGAATCATCAAATTTCTCAACGCTAACTTCTCTTTCACTCGCAATATCAGTCCGCGTATCGCAATATCACATCACGTACCGTGTTCGATTGCTGCTTCCGTACTGCTTTTCGTCCGAAAAAGATTACGAACGACGTCAATCGCAAAAGCAACATTACTCAATAAGTTTGCAAATATGTGAAATAAAAATAACAATAAAAAGGAGAGAGGGATTTACATAAAGTGTTACATGGTTGCTGAAGTATTCCTCAGTCTGTTATCTATTTTCTTTTTTGCTCATAATTCTGCAATGTGTGCGTTATTATTGTATTTAATATTATACATTAAAAACATCTGATATTGCTGTGTTGAGAGAGACACATAACGATAATAAGAGAAACTAATTTCGTCATGAGATTAGTTTTTATCAGTTCTTGTCGAGTGAAACTAAAAGTACCGTATATTATCATATATTATCGTTACATTTGTACACTTATCTATTTTCTGTCTTATAAAAATAAATATGTCCTGATAAAAATCGATTATCTTTCATAAAAAATGCTAACGCGAGATTAAAATCTAGAAAAGAAATGTGAATTGATAGATTAAAAGGAATTAAGGAAGAAAAAATCTTATTTTTAAATCAAATATAAATTATATTTTCTATAAAATCAATTTATTAGCGCTCTTTACTTTCTGGAAAAAAACTTTCTTTATTGCCAATATAGACTGGAGAATATTACGGCTTTTACGAGAACTTTATTCTCACAGACTTATATACATTCAGAATTTTATTGTTAGACTGTATGGGACAATGCAAGTAATACTCTCTTGACCTTGATATCATATCAGAATATTTTCGATTGTGAAATATGCTGTCGTGACTGAGTATGTGTCTCAAGTCATATGTCTTATTATCAATAAATAATTCAGTAAATGTGAAAAGGAAATAATCGATGACATTGCCTTCTATCTATAGCGCGGTTTGATTATTTAGTAAAATAACAAGACTAGTGGCTGTTTTCGCTACATGCTAACTATTTTAACGTATGAATATGCAACCATTAAAAATCGTGGTGGAACATTTAATAATACTTTCTGCTTTGCAAATTGTAATGTATTTCTAAAGATGTACTTCGAAATGTATAACGATGTTATATAAACTATTTTTTGAAGACTAACTAGTTTAGACGTTGGACTAAAAACACTAGTAAAAAATTTCGGAATTAAGTAATTGTTCGATATTAACTACGATGTAAATAATATTATACCGACTAAGAGAACCCTAATAATCTTAGTGGTTTATTTACTTTTCGTTATTAACATCTACTATACAATAGACTGGTCGTGCTACAAAAGCAGTACATGTATTTAAGTATTAGCGTAGTGTGTAGTTTATATATATATATATGCATATATATGTATATAAATATACCGTGTAAGAAAAATAGGATTTTTGTTTTTTGGAGAATCCGTGAACACATTTTTAAAGAAGTCAACAGAAATGCCACTTCAAACACAAATAACCATTTCACATAATGAATGATTTAAAGCGAAGTGTGTTCTTCGCTCGTTAAACTATCGGTATCTTCAGTGTCGGAATTGGTTGCAGCTTGTACTCGAGCATACTCGTCGGTGTCGATGCTTTTACAAAAATGAATCGCATACTTCAGTTTTTGTCGTAGAACTGCTTTGCACGAATAACGCGGCATTTTTAGAAGAAAAAAGCAAGTGTAGCTTTCAGGAAGAAACTGGTCTGGTGGATTGTATTTATCCATTACCTGAGAAGAAAACGTATGTTTTCTCACAGTATACAATAACTGCCTCTTAATGCTTCTTATTGAAGAAATGAAATATAAATGGCAATTTCTTACTTGTAAAACAAAGTCTCTGCCTCTAAAATCTGCGATTGTGCGCGGCAAACGTGTTCTGCCCCAAACAAAACGAAGGAAAAGCGATCGTTCTGGGTTGGAAAATTCATCCATGACTTCCCAGAACCACTGAACAAGTGGCGCCATCGCTTCAATACCTACAAAAGACAATTTTTTTTATTTTAAACTCAATATATAAGTACTTTGATGCGACACATTTACAATATCGAGCATATACCTTTATATGTTGCAACGGACTTTAATAAATTAAGCGGTATGTCTGGACTACCGCAAACCATCGTTTCAAGTTCAGCACCGCTAAATAGTGCCAATAGAGGCACAGGAACGACTTTCGATAAGCCTTCTCGTACAGCTGCTACTTGAGTATCAAATTCATGGAGTCTATAATCTAACGCCAATCTTACATATTCGTGCCTATTTTCTGGTGTTATTTTAAGATATCTGAAAATTTAAAAAACAGCTGTTGTCATATAAATATAAAATATTTTACAGAATACACATACACGCACATACACACACATCAAATAAATATCATTACATAAATAAATAATTAATAAAACATAAAATCTGAAAATTATGAATGCAATACCTGTTAGACAATGCCATATCATGCCCTGCGGCGGAAGGCGTGGAAAAAGGCATTTCTAAAGTTTGAAAGACCTTTTCATCGGGATCCATGTCTCTGATGCAAAGCAAGCCAGGGACATAATCCCTGTCGACTTCCGTCAAATCCGCAGGTGTGAGAGATATACCTGCAAGTTGCTTCCAAACTGGTTCGGCTAGATTTAAACTCAATGGACTACCAGTTCGTATAGCAATACCCATTAGAATGCCTAAGAATTGAAACATATTCATATGCAATTGAGAGTCGGCCATGGGATTCAATAAGAAGCAGTCTCGGTTTGTGCCATTATCTTCGCGACCGTTTGGTGTAGGTATAAATAGTGGCAAGGAACCATTTTGCAATTCATCACACATCTCTGCTATACTTTCGCTATATCCACCGCCACAATCATCAACACTTTCCCCTAAAATAATACATGTAAATATATTAACGGTTTTGTAAAATCTAATAATAAGAAATCATGATTATACGTGAATGAGAATACGTACCCACGAATTTCACTTTCCATACTCTATGAGGTAGAAACAATACGTCCTGTGTCAAGAGAGACATCTTCGACACCATTTGGCCGAAAACTGACTTGATACCGTCTGGTCCAGCTAATCCACCCTTGGCTCTAGCTCTTTTCACTTGTATTCTATTCAATTCGATCACAGGTCCATGTTGACGATCTCTGACCATTGTTGCTTGAATAACCTTGCGGAATGTCGCTTCTTTTATACTGTACACTAACATAGGAGCTAGCTTGCTCAGCCCGATATGACCGGTGGTCGGAAACATAGCCAAAGCAGGGCATAAAAGTTCCGCGAAATGATGTAGCAACACCAGCCTATTACGCAATACAGAGTATGACAGATCTTTAACCAGATCGTATTCCATAGGTGTGGATGCTGGCATTCTGCTTTGTGTTGCCTTCGCGGTACTCCAAGCTAGCGTATGTGCACTGCCGCAAGCGACTCTCGTGATTTTCTTGCCCTGCAATGCGTGTACCAATCTTGGCCTGTGAAGCGCGCTCGTAGTGCCGTCGCCCAGCTGACCCTCGTCGTTGTCGCCCCAAGTGAAAACCTCTCCTTTATCGGAACACGCGACACAGTGTAAAGAGCCCGTTGCTATCGAAATGATCTTCTTTCCTTGCAATGCAGCTACCTTACGTGGTCTACGTACATGGTCGTCCGTGCCATGACCTAAACGATGATAGTCGCCTTTGCCCCTGCACGTAAATAAAAAACATAAAAAAGAATAGTTAAAAAGAGATAAGTCATGAAGATTGAATGACTTATTAATATATAATATTAATTATAATAAAAATAAATGCAATATGTTGCTATTACCAGGTATAAACCGCTCCGGATCTTGTTAAAGCGACTGAAAATTGACTACCGCATTCGACTTTAACTACGCCGAGCCCGGCCAGAGAATCTATCTTTAATGGAACCTTACATCCGTCGCTTCCACCTCTACCTAATTTTCCGTAATCTCCATCACCCCAGCTCCATACGTTATCATCGTCGGTTACGCAGAGCGTTTGCGCGTCGCCGCTTCCGCATGCCACATCGATCACTTTGTAATCTTGCAAAGCCTCCACTACTTTCGGTCGTAATTGATCGTCGCTGTCACCGTGTCCGAGACGTCCGTATCGTCCTGCAATCAATTATCCTTTTTACTACAATGCAAAACCTACACATTTTCCTAATTTCCTAATAATTATTTAATAAATAGATAATTGTTAAATATTTTTAAAATCATTAGAAATATGAGAGAGAGAAAGCGTTTCAGTGCCTGTACTTGTCTGTAGTCATATCTTACCTTTTCCCCAGGTGTATAGCCAACCAGCACTGGTAATAGCGGCGCTGTGATGTCCACCGCAAGCTATATCTATAATCTCTACGCCGAGTAAATCCTCAATCAGTTTCGGTCGATCGTACGACACCTTGTTACCATGTCCCAGTTTGCCGTCGTCTCCTTCTCCCCAGGAATACACATGACCCTCCGAACTCAGAGCGATGCAATGCTTGCCTCCCGAGCTAACTGCCACTTTTTTTATGAATACATGTTGTATTGATTCCAATAACGTCGGGATCATAACGGAATCCGTTCCTCCTATCCCGAGACGTCCCGCAGCTCCATAGCCTGCAAAGCATTGCATCAAAATTCGACATATACAATAATCCGTCGAGGATAGTTAGTTGTTCGCCGTACCAGTCGAATAAATCTTTCCATCAGCGGTTACGGCAAATAAAGTTTGTTCACCGCCAGCCAGTTGAATTGGTCTGAGCGCGGACAAACTTTCGCACGGTGCAGGTAGTTTGACTTTCGGACCCTCCAAACCTCCTAGTTGACCCCTGTGATTATGGCCCCATCCGTAAATCGCGCCTGATCCATCCCATGATAGCGTCCAGTCTTCCGGACGACGATTTAGCCACTGCAGCAACTGCTCGTCATGTCCCTGCTTAAACATATTGTGACTCTCATGATCTTTTGTACAGTCAGCGTTTCCGTCCATCGCATCCATTTCGTTCAGCTGCTTCGTGACCTCGTAACAGAACGCCTTTGGCAAAGGGGTACGATCAACAAGCGATTTCGCCACGCGGGCAGCAAGACAGTATCTTCGGAACCAGGACCATTTATGCATCTCGGAGCAGAATTGCATTCCATCTAACTCAAGGTCGCATGCGAGTGCTACGAGAACCTTGAAGAAGTCGCTGTGCATTAATTGCTTACCACCTCTAACCATAGGATCTTCGTACGCGTATTGCCTTAAAAGTGCTTGTGGTAGAGAGCCAAGCAAAGACGAGAGTGTTACCTCGGGCTTTATGCCCGGTCCGTTTGTATAAACCACCTGCAATTTTCTCAACGCCCACATCCTCTGCTGCGCGGACAGAGTGCTCAGTTGACTGCACTGGCTCAGAGCGGTGGCCAAACGCGAGGCGACGTTCTTGTCGGAATTTATCAGACTGTTGTCCATGAGAAGATGTTCAGCTAGAGCTATAGTCGGTTGCGATAATACCGCTCTATCAGATCCAAGCTCGTACGGCGCTGTTTTCGCCAAAATAGGATACACTGTGAATTTCCAACCCCAGCCGTTGACAGATCCGTCGGAGCAGAATCGCCATCTCAACTCATCTCCTTGGATTTTGATCTCTGGGCCCCACTCGATCCAGTCTCTGCCGGATCTGACCGCCACCACTCTGCCGCTTCCGTCCATTATCGTGAGCGGGTCGTGCCGTTTCTCCGTAGAGCACAGTCGATCGAATTCCACTCGAAGCGCCTCCGCGCCGGGTATCTTCACGTGACCGGTCAACGTGGTGTCGTCTATATAAGGATGCGGCGTTTCTTGTACTACGGGTTGAGGTGTATTATTGACACAATTGCTATTGGCCGCGGTGTCTTCCAATTCTGTGACGCACAGTTCCAGCAGCATACTGCCGATGGAACCATTGACTTTTCCCAGAGCGATAAGTACCGATGATATCGTCTCTTTGGCTGACGCGCAAACTCTATTGGCTACTGCTAGCTTCAACAGATCCACCAGGACTCTCGCGTCATCTTCCGTTAATGCCGATGTAAATTCATCCAAACCAGAAGTTGTCGCACCGTCCTCGCCCACTACTTGCGCGTTGGACGTTAAAGTGGCCGCTATAACACTCATTGCGCTCGTTGACATCTTTGAGGCACGCGAGGATAGACTAGCGGAACTGGACATGGACATGGCTAACATGGCTAATGGATAATCCTCCGTTTCGGGAGTCAACTTAGGACTGGTAGGAACATTGACGGCCTCAGCGACGTTTGCCGGAGCCTCTCCTCCACCTTGCGCGATGTCACCGACGTTCTGATAAACCGCGTGCTCAGTACTCGATGTCATAGCTCCCTCCGACGGTGGTATCACGTCTGTTGCGGCTACTATTGGCGCATGCTTCGTTGACGCACAGCCATTCAACATCGAATGACTCTGCAGAGCCGTTACTATTGCCACTCGTGCCTGCATAATAAGAAGAGCGTTTATTACATGTTGCAAAGCTTGCTGTTTAGCGACGTTACTCTCTAACGAGAGTATTATACTGGCGAGCGACGGTCTCGTGGCAACGGTATCATTTGTCGCAGTAACTGTACCGTTTTGTTCCGGTGCGTTATTCAGGCCCAGACACATCTGGCCTAACGGATCCCTCACCGTCGGGAATGTGACTGGATCTTGATTCCCATTGCTGGGCTGATCGACTAATACCCAAGCTATACTGTGACTCGAGCCGCAGGATACTCTATTTACTCTTGCATCCTCCAGATCATGCACCAATGACGGTTTTCTGTTGACGCTCGTCGTGCCATTGCCTTGTTGCCCATGATCGTTGTCACCCCAGGCGTATACCTGACCGGTATCGGTTACCGCGAGACAATGCAATGCTCCAACTGCTACATGAATGATTTTCTTACCCCGTAGACCTTCAACCAGTGTAGGCTTCCTAACGTGGTGATCATTACCGTGACCCAAGCGGAAATAATCTCCCTTTCCCCACGTCCACACTTCGCCATATTTGGTCAGAGCGAGGGAGAATTGCGCTCCGCATTCTACCTGTATGACGCCCAAATTATTCAATCGATCTACTAATAAGGGCGTATAACAGCCGTCGCTTCCACCTCGACCAAGCTTGCCGAAGTCACCGTCACCCCAGGAATACACGTAACCCTCGGTGGTTAAAGCCATAGTTTGCGCGTCTCTGCTACCGCAAGCCACTTGGACGACTCTATGTCCGACCAAAGCTTGTATCAATTTTGGTCTTGTTTGCATGATGGTATCTCCATGTCCCAATCTACCGTACTCACCTAAACCCCAGGTGTACAGTTCGCCGTTACTGGCGATCGCCGCCGAATGTCCCGATCCGCAAGCAATGTCTCGGATCCTCTTTGACTTCAGTGCTTCGATGAGTTTCGGTTTATCCAGGGATATGCAATTTCCGTGTCCTAGTTTACCGTCCTCACCCTCGCCCCATGAGAATACTTTACCGTCTTGAGTGAGTGCCAGGGCATGCTTCCCGCCTGAGTGTACCGCCACTTTCTTAATCACGAATTGACTCAGGAAAGGTATGGCTTTTGGTTCGCACATATTGTTATCATCTCCTAAACCTAGCCTACCATTCGTTCCTTCCCCGCAAGCATACAGTTTGCCCTCTTGGCTAACGATAAAGAGAGTCTTACTCCCTCCGGCTATATGAATAGGTTTTAATTTTGAGAGGATTTCGCTGTACACTGGTAGCTTGATTTTGGAACCTTTCAGACCTCCTAGCTGATCCTTGTCATTCAAACCCCAAACGTAAACGGCTGATTGCTGGGGTGGCGTATCGACGCTACGTTGTATTGCTACTTGTTCCTGTAAAACTTCCCAATCAGACGCGAGGAAAGACACCGAGGTCGTAAGCTGATTCTCGAACATGTTCTGACGGCCCATTATGCGCAAACCATGTATCTTACAGTCTATACCGCCATTTCGACATTGCTTTATCGCTATTTCAATACACGGATAATATTCCTTCATATCTTGAAGAAGTGTAACATTAGTATCTGAATAACGTATAGTTATCGTTCTTAATTCCACTAAATTAGTGAAGGAGTCTCCTACATTAACCGCTATTACAGAAGGCATGTAACTACTATCCTGTGGATTGACGATAATCTTCAAGGAGTGTATCAAGATTCCAGATAACATCTCCAAGCGAATCCAGTGTTTGCCCTGCGATCCACAACTTTGCCAATATTTTCCGGATCCGTCTACCAGGCGTGTCGCCCAATTTTCTCGCGAAGACACACTCAAGGTCCTGATGCACTTAGACCAATCATCGATTAAATACGATTCTGACAGATCCTGCCTATGATATCTGCCTGGTTTTCCAGCATAAATGGCTGCCGAACCAGGTTCCGCAATTCTATTGAAGCCGTGTCGATGCGATCGCTTGGTGTAGAAACAATTCTCGCACAGATCATAATCGTCGCAATACTTGCACTTGAATCTGGGACCAGAAATCGGTGTCAGGTAGCATGAGTGGCAGGTCACGAAATGATGACAGGATGGTACCTTCTCCATTTCAGCAACACAGCCAGTCCATCCGTGCTGCTGCGGAAAATCTACGGATACATTCTTGCCATTATTAGTTATCGCCGTAACCACTCCGACGGAATGATGACTTACAGATCCCCAGTTATATTTCGGCAAAGTTACCGACGCCTTAACTCTAACTTTATCTCCGACCTTCAATGCGGGCGGTGGACCTGGCAAAGATGGCGGATATCCGAGCAGTTCTATGTGGATAAAACGTACCCAGTACGTACCGCCTTTGCGTTGCCACGCAACTTGCGCGTTCAGGTCGTGTAAGTTCTCCGCGTCGATCTTCACTACTTGGCCGACGTCACTATACTCTACTTCCTCGTAGCTCTTACAACATCGTACCAGCATACCTGGTACTACGTTGTCCCTCACGTAAATTGCATACTCGTCGACCGACAGGAAATCTGAGCGCTTCATGTACGTCGGTAGTGCACCACTATTTATAGCACCTTCTTGTCCCGATGGAGAATCATCCAAATCTTCGCTAATCGAATCATCACTGCCATCAGTTAGTCCATCTAAGCTGGACAAGGTCTCTGTATCGCTGAGAGCAGCGTCCGGATTTTCCAACAGCCAACCAACCACACTTTCTGCTGTTACACTGCCTTGATCGGCAACGCTTATGCTTTTGATAGCCAATTCGACGCTTTTCTTGTGAAAACCCATTTCGACTACCACAGCTACCAAAGGACTCACAGGCGCCGCTGTAGAGCTCTTCTTTGCTGTTATGTTACCTTTACAGTGTCTTCTCTGGCTCGACGTTAAGGAGACCAGTGAGCAGTCAGATGTAGGGGTAGTAGGATCTGAAGTCATGCCGGTTCGTTGAATAGGCGTGTGTCTCAATTCAGAGACTAGATATTGAGAAACCGCTAGAGCGGCCTCCTCTAATTCCCTACGCTTAAATATCGGTTTCAGCGGTTGTGGCTTCGTGGCGCGCAATAGTATTTCTTGCAGAAGCGTGGAGGTACGTCTCTCATCATCATTGATTTCATTAATTAACGAATATTTCAAGATCTTCCGCAATTTCGATTGATACGCGAGCATGGCTTTCCCAGCGTTCAAGGCCGCGAGTTGTTGCTGTTGGCTTCGTAATATCGTGGGGTTGACAGCGCCAGCAATAACGGGCATGCCACCAGGTCGTTTATCCATACAAGCAATACCTAAAAACAAATTAGTCCAGACAGATATAAGACTCTCCGTTAAAGGCATTCTCTCCAATTGAAATTTCTCGTTAATCCGCTTCGCCGCGTGGAACGACACTATTTTTCGCGTTCCGTTGCCATTCCACAGCTGCATAACAATCTTCGAGTGTTTCGTAAACTTGCAGACTGTGCCTACTTCACCGTCAGAATTCACCAAACCGCCAATCCTTATCCTATTATCCAAACCGCCGATGACAACAAGAGTTGCCATAACTGTCCGTTGAATACAAAGACCATTTTCGCCACCATTCTCATTCATCTGTATGTGGAATAGCGAGCTCTCGTTCCAAAGATCCACCGTCAATGCTAACTTTGTGGAGAGAAATTTATTTACAGCTTCGTTCCATCCAGGAAGAGAATGTAGGAATCTAATCAACCATGTTAGTTCCTCAACTACGGTAGAACTGTACGACGCGGTCAAAGACATTCGGCATTTATTCGAGTGAAGCTCAGAAATGGCAGCGATGTCACACGTAAGAGCCACCTGACCCAATATCCCAAAGGACTTCTCCAAGAACTGCATCATATTGCTCAGAACTGTCTCCGTTCCCCACGAAGGTAAAACAGCTGCTAGTAGTTTCGTGATCATAATTTGCTTCTCAAGACAAGGCTTGGTTTCGTCAACGACGATACCCAGAAAAAGATTGAGCCAAGCCTGTGAACTCAAGGACTTACACAAATCTGTTGATTTTGCGATCGCTCTCAAAAGACTAAAAGTAGCCCAAGTTTCGTGATGCTGCCTCGCTAGTTGAACATGCGTAATCGATTCGCTGGATCTGTTCGCAGTCGATATTATACCGTGCAGAGTGGAAGTAAGGATTTTGATGGATATCGCGGGTACTTTATCCGCTTCTACGCCACAGGAGAGTAAGATTATCCGTAGTAAGTTCGTTGACGCCGACTTAAGACACGTGGTCGGATGCAAATCTTCCCCGCGAAAACCACTGTTCTCCGTTTTATTTCCATCGAGCGAAGTATCGCTATCGGTCTCGTCGCTATCATCATCGGGAGGCGTTGGTGGATCAGCGAGCTTTAAATCGTATTTACCTTCCTTACCCATGCGATACGAATTCGTCGCGCCGTTGTCCCACTGAACCCTTATCCATCCGTCGTCGCCAAGTTCGCCGATGACTCTACCTACACCGGGCGGTGGACCGTCCTGGTCGCCCCATTTCCAATCGGCCCCTCGTACAACCCGAGTGCCAACCTTCATCAACGCCGCCAACTCCATTCCACTGAGCTGAACAGTTGGCGGCTTGTTCTTTTGAAGGGCATCCTCGTAAATCGCCGTGATTTCCGTCTTAACTTTCAACGCCTCACCGTCGCCACCTTGCCCCTGTCCCTCGCCGTTCTCGCAGAAACTTGCCGACGACGGTCCGATTTGTCTCAATAAAGTCAAGATGCTGGATAACAGACCCGAATTAATCAGTAGCCCGATCTCATTGGCACACTCATGGTTAGTCAACATACCAAGAATAGTCAGTAAGAATCTCGCTCTCGGTAATTTTCGCAGCCAAGTGTAAGTACCTTGATTCAAGCTGCTCTTCCCGCTGACTTTCTGTTTGTTCGGCAGCTCTGCTTGTACGACATACGTCCGTAAGGCTTGTACCGCCCATGAAATCACCTCAGCCTCAGCTAGAATAACTTTGGACTTTTGATATGGTGTCGTTAACTGTATATTATATAGGCAATGCGTGATCCCGTCGCTGAGAGATTTGTTCTCATAGGTCAAACCGAGCCAGCCGTTAAGCAAGGAATATTTCACCGATGGTATTAAATAGTCTTTTTTCAATAACTCTCGCATCATAGAGATACCTTGTTCCCGTATGCGAGCGCGTTGCATTTGGCAGTACATCGCACGGCGCAACGTCTCAACGTCCCCGCCAATGCCGTCATTGATGACAAACTCGATAATATTTGTCATTAAACCGTTATAATCGGCAGTGGCCCACTGCATCGGTCTACATCGAATCTTCTCAGTCATCTGCATAATCTTGTTCTTTATATCCGACATATCTTCCAGTTTTGTGGAGGACGATGTCGTGGCAGTTAGACCTTCCTTGGAGGAGGAAGTCGTATCCCCATCCGGTTTGTTTTTCGTTTTAGCGTTTTGTATTGATGCATTCAAAATATCCTCTGGCTTACCGCCTCCGCCGGATGAATCTTTATTTTTATGAATATCGGCTAAGACCGTGCGAGCGGCTCTCTTGAATCTAGGGACGGTATACAGTAACTTCAGATCCTCGAGTCCTTTAACTTCATAACTCGTCGCGGATCTGACCTCGTATAGGAGAAATTTGCATCTCTCTTGCGCGGGCGCGCAAACTTCCTTGTAACTGCGATTCTGTTGTTGCCTAATTCGCACCAAGTTCCACTTGGTCTGATAAATCGCTCGTACCATGTCGGCCAACTGATTACTCAGTCTCGCGCTGTTAACGATCTTTAATTCTTGTTCTGCTAACGCGAGCGCTTGTTGCCCCAAGCCAAGATGTTTTATAATCACAGCCATCAAAACGCGACTGATTTCCTCGACTGGATGATCGCCGCAAAAATCAGCGTGAGAGAATAGATTGTTAGTCTTGGAGTATCTATCGACTAGCGTTAAGAATGCTCGGACATGACCGTCGTCAATTTTATGTGCCTCTGCTAATGCATGTATAAACGCGATCGTTCGATCTTCGTGCTCCTTTTGCTGCTCGTTTTTCGCGTGCACCGGGAGCGGTGGTTCCGTGGGAGAGTTAGCAGCGGTTGACGTATTGCTTCTCGCTTCATCCTTCTCCTCCTCGTATGGATTCGGCGGTTGCAAAACTTGCAGGCCACCTCGCAAAAAATTTGTAGTGAGCCATACACCGGCTTCCTTCTCTGCCGATTGAAGCGTCAAGCTCTGCCGCATTCGATAAGCATGCAAGCCCAACAAAAATCCCAGAGCTCTTTCCGTGTCCAGCAGGGATGAACAAACGTCGGTTACCTCGATCGTGACCCGTGCATTTTCATCAGGCTCAGCTTGACAATAATGACCAACGAAGCAAGAGTCCATCATGTCCCGCGGTGGCGACAATTGACTGTACGGTACGCCGCATTGCGTTACCGTTGAAGTTTCATCCCGCCCGACGACGTACCGTTGCAGAACTTCATAAGGAGACCACGAGCCGTCGTTTCTGATATCCTGCACGTCATAAACGTTGTTATTCACCACTACCCACAGGCCGCCGTCGCGATTATGATTCTCCAAATCCGCCCACCGTATCAAAGAGGGTTCCTCCTGAATGGGTATCTTATTTCCATGTAGCGGCGCGATGATCCCTGGCCAGGACAAATCGTCCGCTTCATTTTTCTCCATCGTTGGCGCTAGCTTCACGAAATGGTCCAATGAGTCCAAAATCGGTGCAATTACGTCCATCCAGTTCATGTCAATGAGCAGCATAGAATAATCTATTTGCAACAATATCAAGCAAGTCACTAGCTCGGGAAGTAATACGTTGATTATGTCGCCTTTCAGAACACCAGCGATGGAGATGAAATCTTTGACAGAACGACCACCTATTTCAGCAGCCAACGGCAATATCTCGGTCGCATGGTCGCAGATCTGCGCAATGTACTTCTTCAGTAGCGACTCTGCGCCCATCATTTCTTGATCATGCAGATCTTCCGTGCGTGACTGGCGTGTAATACACTCGTACACTTGCGCGATTAGCAAACGTTGGAAACGCAAAAGAAGATTCAAGCTGGGCGAATTGTCGAATCTTCGAAGATGCTCGTTTCGGTCCACTTGCTGCGATGAGCCTTGTTGCAGTCTAGACTGCGTAATGCACGTACCGTTTCTAATTAACTGTTGTATTAGCTGAAGCAGAGAGATAGTTGTGATGTTCTTCCCAGAATTGAAACCGTCTTTCATACCCTGTCTCGTTTCGATCTTTACTTTAACAGCATTCGACGTGCCCACATCTAGAAAATCCTTCTCGTCCGGCATGTCTGCTATTTCCACTTTGATAGCAGCCTTCAACGCTAACTCCAATCCACCATCCACCATTAGACTAGATACTAATAAATCGGCCATAAACCGTTGTCCACTGTTTATGTATATATTCGCTGAACTCGATTGTTCCACATTGTTCGACGTATTTGGCAGGAAACTGGACAGTGTCTTTGCACGCTCGTTAGCCGTTGGCAGCAATATGCTCCAGCCCGTTTGCAGAACCACTTGCGCCGCTTCTTGAATCGTCGCCAATATTCCGGTCGCGCTTGCCAGGTTGACGCAGCGTTGCTTTAAGGAATTTAATAGTGGACTGCTAGTTGCCAGCCCGACGGATTTAGTATCAATATTATGCGTTAACATGGTATGTAACTGTAATCGAAGCAAGTTCAATGTAGCTACCGCAAGACATTCGCGATCCTGCGTAGGCGGTCGTATTCCTGGTAGGCCCTCACAAGACTTGGACAAAAGTGTGTCGAGCAGTTGGAAAGTCTCCTCGCATATATCGACGACGAAGGCCACTCTACTAGCTCCGCCTGACCATGCCGACATGCACCAGGCAAAGCTCTGGGTCGGACCTGACGCCAAACCGATGACAGTCTTGGAGGATAACGTTGGACACAACGTAGGCTCAGAAATGATGGGACCTAATGTGGGATCGATTTGACCGTAATCGTTTCTACCCCATCCATAAACAAATTGATCTTCCGTCAGCGCCAATATGTGAGTGGTGCCTACGGACAGATCTTTGACCTTTCTATCCCTCAACGATTCGATGACTTTGGGATATCTGACGTGTTCCTCGCTGCCGTGACCTAGGCGATATGCGTCACCTTTTCCCCACGTGTACACTTCTCCGTGAGCTGTCAACGCCGCGGAGAACTGACTGCCGCAAAACACTTTTACCACGTTGATGTCCAGTAGCTTATCAACGATCTTTGGCGTTTTGGATCCGTCCGTGCCTCCTCTACCTAGTTTCCCGTAATCACCATCTCCCCAAGAGAAAACTATGCCGGACGCGGTCACGCACAAGGTTTGAGAGTCACCGCTACCGCAGGCCACGTGTACGACCGTGTGGCCCTTTAACGTTGTCACTAATATTGGAGTCATGACGTCGTCGAAATTACCATGACCTAATCTACCATAATTTCCTCTTCCCCAGGTGTATAATTCGCCGTTGGCGCTTAATGCTGCTGAGTACGTACTGCCACATGCTATGAATACGATGTTCTTCTCTAGAAGTGCTTCGATCAATTTCGGTTCGTCATAGGAGACGGTATCACCGTGTCCAAGTCTACCGCCGTCTCCATTGCCCCAGGAATACACACAGCCATCTTGCGTTAACGTTAAGTAATGTTTGCCATCTGCGTGAGATGCAATCATCGTGATCGGCTTATCAGAGAAACCATGCACTCTTTGCGGATATTGAGTTTCGGATCCGTGATACATATTATAAACGTTGCCATTCAACGACAAGATCATTAATGCTCGCTCAGTGCAGCACAGCTGCTTTATGCCCAATTCTGCAATTGCATCGCAGTAAAAGGGGGTCGAGCCATTTCCAAACTTGACACCACCCCAAGCTAACACCTCCTGAAATGTTTGCTTGCCATTTCCATTCCTTGGAAATCCGTACTCAGTACTAGCAGGTGGTAAAAGAGGAGCGGCCAATCTGCTTAAATTACACATTATAATAACTGCGGCTTTTCTTAAATCGACTGATACGGCGTCATCGTCTGGCAATCGTAAATATTTAAGTAACACTTCGCAAGGACCCGGTGTAACATTTCTGTCAAGATGTCTACGAGATTTTGTCGCTGGTATCATGTTCAATCGTCGTAATAGTGGGACGAGCGGTGCTGTGCTTCCAGGTGGTGTAACTCGATTGTCCTGATTCTTATTTTTACCACTGAGATGAAGTAATAAAACCACGGAATCTAATAAACTAGAGAGAGTGGCCCTTTGCGCAACCAGTTCCAGTAACAAGCAAAGAGCCGTGTGCTGATCTGACAATGGCACTGGACGCCACGATCGTCCGGTAGTTACCTCTCTGAAAATAAATAACATATATATCTATTCGTTGTATAAGAAATTTATATAAACTGATATAAAAGCGAGATATATATATATACCCTGTGACGACTTGTCTTAAGAATTTTGCTGATCTTTCTACGACTTCCAACCAGACTTGAGAAACGTTACTCTCATCAAAGAGAGTCGCCTCCGGTAACGATTGCAACGCTTCCAATGATTCGGTCAATAATTCGCTACAAAATTCAACGTCTTCCCCAGATCTCCAAGCCCGTCTTAAGTACGCGAATGAGAAATTGAGGGCCGCGCGTGAACCAACGCGCGCTAATCCTAAGGTCGCCTTTTCGTTAGGTCTCGGCCTGCAGTTGACAAAAATTTAAGCATTTATAAGAATAATCTAAAGTGTTATTTCGAACAAAACACAGAAAATAACGTACTCTGAAGAGGATCAATATATAATTGTATTTCGATATTCTGCATGTAATGTGTGCACGAGAAAACATATCACTTAGGAAATTTGACCTGTGCTGTATGTAATAGGGTTTGCAACATAAATATGACTTATCATAATCATACATACTCTATATACATAATTTTATACTCAACGTTTTTTGTAATTTTCCGATAGACTTTGGTAAATTTGAGGTATCTTTGATCTCTTGTGGTTTATGACGAGACAAAGCGGTGAAATATCTTCGAGCGACTATCAAGCGTTGCCTCAAACGTGTAGCGGATAATGTGCTATTTGCGACTTCACAACATAGCTTCCGTTGCTCCTTAATCGATAAATCGATGCATCCTTTCAAATCTGTTAAAGCTAAGTAAACATAATTAAATAGATATCAATAGAAATTTAGTAAAAAAATTAAAATAGTGCTTATTATTTGTGCATACAATAATATATATGAAAACAATACATTATTTGCAAAAGTGATATTTCATGTAAAAATAAAATTCAAATTAGTAAAAATTAAATGCCTATAACGATCGAAGCTGGATCTTTAATGCTTAAATAATTCAATAAAGATCCAGCTTCAACCGTTAAATAGGCATTTAATTTCTAGTATTGATTGTGTTTTCACATATGCGGTCTAAAATAAAGATTCTTAAAATTCAAATTATTTATATTTATTTATAATAAATATAAAATATCCAGTTTAAGTAAAAACGTTTGCTTGCCATATATTTTATCAGACAAAAAATAATTTAAGCAAAAACTCAAATAAGATTTTAAGTACAATAGTTTGAAATAAATAAAACATCATATAAATATATTTACATGGCTGGGGTCCCCAGACCCACGAGTCCATCATTCGCTTGGCAGACATAGACTTTTCGACTATCGCTGTTGTTCTTGCAGTTTCTTCCTCGTCCAGTTTCTGGCATGGAGTACAATTACAGCCATGTTGCGGACCACAAATTCCATCACAGCAAAGACAAGACAACACTCTCATACCACAATAATAATGACCATTTTCACCTGAAATATATACACAAAAAATTAATAAAGAATCTTAAAAAAATTAATGTTAATATAACTGATAGAATTACTGTTTGTTTTCGTCAACAGTTTTAATTTTTCCTATTGCCAAAAAAGAAACGATGTCTTTTTTGGAGATAGATATAAAAAAACTTAATATAGATTAAATCAATTCCTATATTCCTTTCATTACTTATTTCTATATTTACTTACCTTTCTTTGCTACGATTCCTGCAGCGTTGACTAAACCATCACTGAAAGAACCCACAATTTCGCCATCTCGTACCATCTCATTCCACAATTCAGCTAATCCATCGCGATAAAGGAATCGTTGTATATCAGTCTTCAACCACTTGGCGTCCAATCTTACTTCTGGTCTAACTGTTATATTTAATTGGCTGCTCATCTTGTTTACAATCTTATTTATAAAGACTTCCAATGTATATCCAGATCTGTTAATACTCCCATGCAAACAGATCTCTCTTACGAGATTCTGTTACAAGTAACAGTCTCATTTCCTTCGAAAATACTGGTTCCTTTTCTCGCTTCCATGCAACCGCATGACGATTGTTAATTTGTCTCTCCGCGGATCAATAAATAGAAAATACTGTCTCAAGATTGATTAATTTATTACCTCTTAGGTCCTTTCTCTCTCTTTCTCTCTCAAACTCTCGAGCTTGAACTCAACGTTAATTAAAGGAAAAAAAAGGGCAAGAAAACATTCCTTCGGACGAGTTCTCGAGACTGTCAAACGAATGTTATTCTTGGGCACAGAATTCGATCGGGAGAAGGACGAGGTTAGCAATTAGTGCACTTTGAGGCGGCTCGCCCGGAGTTTCTACCTTCGCCGCCCGTTTCGTCCTCTAGCCGTCTGTCACCATCTGTAAACATCCATCGCTGTCAGTTCACCAATCGCGATTAAAAATTCAACTGAGCACCGTGACATGACGATAATGTTATTTTGACGCGCACACATTCATGCATTCACAAACACACAAAAAAGATTTTCATCTGTTTCACCTCCGATCCCTGATAGTCGATCGGCTGCTCGATTACCCACCGATTATTACGAAACTAGTGTCGCCAATATTCGCGCGATAGCGCGGTAATCGGGCGCGTTTAGCGCGCGACATGTTTACAATGGGTGCGTTCAGCAGAACGTTTGTTTTGCAACTGTTGTAAGTTTCCTTCGCGCTAATTGGATCATACTTTTAGATCTAGAAGAATGGTCCTATCTCAGCAGACAATCATAAAACGGTTGCAAAACTGTTGAGTCTGCTGAACGCAGCCAATATTTACGTGCCGCTCGTCGTGGTTCGTTTGACATCTCACACGTGTCAAAGAATACGTACGGACGCGAGATCTTCCTTATCGCAAGATCCTCCACTTTTCTGACAGTCTGAACATCGGACACTGCTCCACACTGCTCCACACTGCTCCACACTCCTCTATTCAAGATCAGCTGTTTTCCCTCAATCACGGTTTGGCTACGGTTCCCGTTTTGTGTTCGCCCCGCGACCACGTGACCACGTTGGCGCGAAAGAAAACGAGGCTTATGAATACGAATGTGGTCACTTGCACGCTAGATTGATAACGAATTTGAAATTTACATTATATTAGATTAGTGCGTGCTAAAGCTGCTATGCTTAAAATTAGCAAAGTTAAATGTAAGAGCGTATGAATATTTTAGAACCGGTTGTTTCATCCTCGGATGAACTATATGGTAATTTACTTACTGGATAAACAAAAGAATAAAAGAGAAGAGCATACGAGAGTAAGAGAGTAAAGCCTATTCTACAATTGTGTAAACGTAGATGTAAGTGGTTGTAGTTGTAAGAATTGACTAATTACAGTCGAATATTTTTCTCATATTTGACTGTGATTGGTTAATTCTTACAACTACAATCACTTACAACTACGCTTACGCAATTGTAGAATGGGCTTAAGGTCCAATTCCACAACTCACGGTTAACTCTTAGACCCAGAATAGAATTAGAAAGAGATTAGAAACAAGTTGAACCTCGGTTAAGAGTTAACCGTGAGTTGTGGAACTGAGCCTTAATCGAGGTTCAACTTATTCACTGTCTCTTTCCAATTTTAGAATTGGAAAGAGATGAGAAACAAGTTGAACCTCGGTTAAGAGTTAACCGTGAGTTGTGGAACTAGGCCTAAGTATTTTTATAGTATTTACTGTAACATTCATAATAAATATTTCGTAATATTTATAATAAATGTTTATGATCTGTGCAATCTAAGAGACCACAAAAATATTTACAAAATATTTAAAATAAATATATCTTATAAATATTTTGTAAATATTGTATGCTGTCTGGGTACGTAATGTATATAATGTTAATTATCGCGTTAATATGAAGCAATATGGCAGCTTTCATGTTAAACACATGATTGGTGATTCCGTATCAGCTGTGCGAGTCAGACAGCGAATTCGGCAGACTGCACTAGTGCGAACTTTTTTAGTACCATGCATTCGGCTTGTGCGCACTGTATCGGTGCGTTAAGATTATCATATTCGGCAAATGAGCCAAGTGTAGCAAACTAGCCCAGTGTAGTGCTGAATTTATATTCGGACCAACCGAATGAACTGAACGAGTTCAAGAAATGTTGCACTGACGTTTCTGACAGTGCAATTTGGCATAGCATCAAAAGGCCTGTTCTTTTTGGCTGAACTTTTGCACCAGTTCATCTTTCTTCCTCTTTTTACCTTCTAGAGAGAAAAAGAAGAAAGATGAACTGGTGCAAAAGTTCAGCTAAAAAGAACAGGTCTAAAGTGGTTCTGCACTCGCACCATGTCAGGGCAGCACTAGAGCAGAATCAGTGCACGTATGCCGAATTCGCCAAGTGATTGCCTTTCATACGCACTGCTTTTGGCCAAAATTTTATAGGTTAAGTTCTACATTGAATGTCACAAAATATTACGTTGTCCGAAGTGAACAAGATATAAAATAAAATTCCACAGTGAACGTTTGGCTACAAAAAATATTTGAAATATGTTCAGTGGCATAAAATATCCGCTGAGATACAATTCAAATAAATTTAGTAAGAAACTTATTTATGCCTGTAACATTTCAATTTGAAAAAAAATTATTGCTATTAAATCTTAATAAATCTAATATGCGATCTATTTGTTGGAAAAAGTCAGTGTAGTGCATTGATTAATTGTTGATATAATTTTAGGTTGTCAATTGCTGACATACTTCTCGACGAAAACAACACTTAAAAGCAATCTAACGAAGACAGAATGTACACGAGGTGCTCATCCACACGCGTGTGGACAACCGACGTCGACGACACACCCGCACTTGATAAAGCATGGCGAGGTGCTGCCAGGTATATCGCTTCAGGAACTTAAGAGAAGACGTTCTAAATTAGTGGAGTGTGTCACATTAATGGCAAATGCCAAGAATGTACACAGGCAACAAATAGTCGTCATACCTGCATCGTCCAAAGTTTACATATCTGATAAGATACCATATGTCTTTCGGCAAAATACAGACTTTCTGTATTTCTCTGGGTGTCAGGAACCTGATAGTATTCTAGTACTTACATGTACAGAAGATAAATCGTCTTACACTTTATTTGTGAGAGCGAGAGATGAACATTCAGAATTATGGGATGGTCCTAGAACCGGCGTTGAAATGGCGACAGAAGTATTTGGCACAGATTACGCTCTGCCAGTTACAGAATTTGAACAGTTCTTGGCAGCGCTCATACAAGAGGATAAAGGCAGCATTGTATGGTATGATCATGCGGATGTTGTTCAACCGATCTTGCATAAGAAGCTGCATCAATTGATTAAATTGACGGACAATCAAATATTTGCTTCCCCTAAGATTTTGTTTCATCAAATTCGCTTGATCAAGAGCGCCTGTGAAATTGATTTAATGCGGGAGAGCTGCAAAATTGCCTCTGACGCTATTGTAAAAACAATTCAATCTTCAAAGCCAGGGATGAGTGAGCATCAGTTATTCACTACTGTAGATTATGAATGTCGTATGCGCGGGGCGGAATACTTGGCGTATCCTCCCGTCGTAGCAGCGGGCAGAAATGCAAACATAATACATTATATCAATAATAATCAAATTATACAAAGCAGTGATTTAGTTTTGATGGATGCAGGTTTGTACCGAGATGTGTAGAATTATATAAGCCTATTCTTTTAGCTGAACTTCTTGCACGTTCATCTTTTCTCTTCTTTTCTCCACAACGTGGATTCAAGAAATTCAGCTGAAAAGAATGGACCTTATGATTAGTACATAATCGAAGCACTTTTCTTGCATTTTTGTCCACTTACAGGTTGCGAGTATCATGGATATTCATCCGATATAACGCGGACGTGGCCAATTAGCGGCAAATTTACGCCAGAACAAAAAATTCTCTATGAAATAGTACTCGATGTGCAAAAAAATTTGATAAAGAGTTTGAAGGAAATGCCGTCATTGGACAACGTATTCCGTCATATGTGTTTTCTTCTGGGAGAACGGTTGCAAGAAATTAACATAATACCGAAGAACATAGAAGAAAGTAAATTATTAGCGGCTGCATACGCGTACTGTCCGCACCATGTCAGTCATTATCTTGGAATGGATGTGCACGACACGGGAAAGATATCCAGAAGCGTGAGGATACAGCCTGGAATGATAATAACAATGGAACCTGGTACTTGAATGCTTTATATTTGTCTTAAAGAACTATTTGTAAATTAATGCAAATTAATTTATATTTCTTTTCATTACTTTAGGTGTGTACATAAATCCGAAGACTCCTTACGCACCGTCACATTTCCATGGTTTAGGTATACGTATAGAGGACGATATTTTAATAACAGAAAATGGCCCAGAAATCTTGACGAAACACTGTCCAAAGGAGGTAGCGGAAATCGAAGCTCTAGCAAGCTAAAAGTCAAGGACGTTTAACAATAATTAATACAAGCACTCAATGTACATAGTAAAACAATATGCCTCTATTTTTTATTTACATGTATATAAAAAAGTATAAGTATATGCGTGTAAATACGCGGACAATTGCATTAATTGTATATGAAAGTAAGGGAGTCTTCGCTTTCATATACACTCCAGATATATTTTTTAGACATATATAAAATGATTGAATCTTTTATATTCTTCCAAACCCGTCTTTCACTTACTCTAACGTATTTACCTTGTAGATAAATATGCCGAAGAATCACTTTGTACAACATGGCTCTATATACACATATATATCTGTGTATCATACAGTTATATATTATTTTATTCAATAAGAATAATTAGATAATAAGAAAAGTATAATACATAGAGACCTTCAATATTTTATTTATTTTATTTTAAATATAGTATACATTTTATTATAAATTCATACAAAGAAAATTTCTTAATTATTCGAAAATTTGTTTAAGTGGAAATAGACGAATATTGCATACTTGAAACCAGTAAAGTATTACTAGAATCAATAACAGTAGGGTATATATGAAAAGAGTTAACGTAATCATTGGTACAAAAAAATTCTGGTTGTATCACACAATCTATGGTACAATCACACTGTTACTTTAATAAGACAAGCATTATATTTCGATCCACATGGGTGGGCAAATATGAACAAAAAAATAAAAAACAATTGCATTCTACAAAATACTTCAACAACAGTAGCATTCAAAATGAATTAATACACTAAAATATGTGTAAACATGTACAGTTCTTTTCACGATGATATTACAATGTATCCACGAGACTCTTGAAAAAGCAATGAATTGCTATTTATTGTTTCGTTTGTCGGACGACTGCTCACAACTTCCGTAATTCAACGTCGGCTCGTTTTAAATTTATGAAGTTGGAGAGTTGCTTCGCTCGCAAACGAGCCCAAACCAAGTGATTCTGCATCGCATGGATTTGTGCCGCCGCGAATGCAGCTGCTTCTGGATGTACGACTGTCGTACAGCCAAGTCCTATAAATATAATTTAACTTTACATTTCAGAAGACAAATTCAATTACTATGAATACAAATTATGTAGAATACCTGAAGGAACGTCAAGCGAAGACCACACGTTTCGTTCAATATTGTCTGATTTCAAAGGTGGGCAATTTATGACGGGCAAGACCGTATTGCCGGAGAGTACTGGACCCAAACCATTGCTGCGACCGGCTACCGCTATCAGTACCACCTAAGAAAAAAGAAATAAGAAGCTTGTGATAAATGGAAATAAATAATTTTTTTATAGCTATCATTTTCTTTATCATAACGAGTTTTGTGATTAAAACATAACAGGATAACGCAGATCGCTTCGACGGGTCAGTATAAGTTTTTGATACAGTTATCCTTTGCTAGCACATTTGATATCACAAATTAGTGACCAATGTCGTAACGATAAATATCACGATCAAATTGCACAATATGTGTTGATACAAGCTGCTGCTATCATCAGCATTGTGTAATTAAAAAAAATATTCAAATGTGACTTGCATGTATCTCTAATAATATTTTTACGATTACCAATCATTAATAATTATTAATCATATATAAGCATTTTCGTAATTTTGATAGTAATTCAGTAAAAAGTAATATTCAACGAAACCTACATTTCACCTAATCTATTAAAAGTTTATTATAATGAACTGATAATGAAAAGATGAAATTTCAAACGTACATTTTCTCCGCTGCCTTCATATCCAGCAAGAATATTTAGAGTTTCCTCAGTACCCTTATGAGCACTGCAAACTCGGAGTTGGGGTTTTAAACCTAATGCTGTAGCATGCTTTGCAATTTCTCGACAATGTCCCTCGTCGGATGGTGAGCCCATAAGTATAACAACTAATGGAGTGGATGCTTCAATGACATAATCTAACTGCTCTTCTACCCACTTAAAGTTACACTTTACGGTCTCCAAACTCTGTTGTGTTACATTGGATAGATCTCTGTATACCTAATAAACAAATATGATAAATTTTAAACAGTCACAGTTGATGTAATATTGACGAAAATATCTCAAACTATCTTACCTGCTTATCTTTCATTTGTTTCTTATCTCCAGAAGGCCAGAGTCTCCAGGAATCGCTGTCGATAATATCAGCTAGTAAAATCTCCCCAGTTGAGTCCACACCGAATTCTATCTTCATATCTATCAGCGAGCTATTACGTACTGCCCATGCTCTCTCAAGAATCTCAAAAATGACAACAGTAGTGCGTTTCATAATATCTACTTCATCCTTCGTTATTTTCCTGCCGCCCATTTGGAAGCCCGCGGAAATAATTTGCTCGTCAGACCATTGTGGATCATGATTAGCATCATCCTTAAAGAACGTTTCCTGCAGAGGCGGATTGAATCTGTAGCCCTCAGGTACCCCTGAAACAATTGTACATGAATAGCATTCTAACATTTTTTTCAGCTTTGTTAATTCCAAGAGAAAGATATTGACGTTCATATACGTACCAGGATGTCTTTTTAGAAAGCTACCAGTTGCCTGCCTTCTAGTAACCCATTCAATTGGTATCATGTCACATTTCTTCGCTATGAAAGACTTTAGACCGGCGGATTTGACGTAAGCTGTCTTGATACCAGCTTGATTGAGCAACCCGAAGACCTTTATGGTGGTGGATGTACTAATCGTCGCTTTGCCTTCTAATGCATGAGATTTTACACCGTCGCCAGCAGTAATGCGATCCTTGCTTTCCAGCAAACATAAGGTAGGATCGTTTAGAAATTCATAAACTTTTTTCGTCTTTCCCTCATTGATAACTTTCCCAAGTTTATAATCTACAAAAAAAAAACAAGAGAGAAAATTATCTTTTAATATTGATCGGTACGAAACAAATCTCTTTTTATTTTATAATAAATACAACAGAAAACAAGTCGATAATCTTTCCCTTCCTTTGAGTGAATGTTTCAAGATTGTAAATGTATTATTTTCATACCAATAGCCCATTAATTAATTATACTATTCTCATACAAATGCCCATTGATTAATTTTTCAAATTACATAGCTAAAATTAAGCTGTAATAATATTTGCTGTGATATAAACTACATTAAGTACAGATATGTTAGGGCACTTGTATGAAACGCCGGCCGGTGTATGAGGAGTGTATTATCGACCACCTGTTGCTCTGGCAAAACCCGTTTACTCCTTTACGTCTTTTTTCAGTAGGATTGTTTCGAATTATTTAGACATAAACGTCACGAGATTCACGTCTATGATTAATATCACATGTCAGAAGATCGTCTACTTGTCTACGCTTCTGAATATAGACGGAAAACTCGTTCAACTAAATTCTAACGTTTTATCGAACTTACCAGCCATCTTACCAGCCGCTCTAACGTCTACTATTGGAATGAACGTAATTCGCTTGATTTCACATACATTTCTTTAGCAGCCCCCACTACGATCCTCGTCTGCCTGATTTTCGATTGGCTCGAAGCTTCTCTAGAGTTCTCTGTTACGATAATAACATGATATTGACAACGAAAAATCATACGAATAATATTTTTCTCATTGTACACATTAAAATAAGTTATTTCTCTTGCATGTATAACTCGTGTATTTTATCGAGTAGATTTACGAAACACATTCTAGAAAGTTCTCTGTGGAGTAATAGATAACCGAATCTTGAATTGTCACAATATTCCTCTTCATTGGAAATATAGGATACATATAAATTAAATTATAAATTGTAAATAATTATGAAAAAATAATTATAATTATCAATAATTATAATTTTAATATTAATTATAATCTTCAATTGAAAGTTTATTTAACTTTTAATTGAATTTAATCAAAAGTAAAATTATATAAATAATTTAAAATTACAAATAAACAGAGTGGAGCTCCAGAAATAAATCGAAAAGAAATACAAATTACCAATATGAACTGTCGCGGTTATTGATGCTTATAAAATTAAGATAATAAATCAATTTAGATATAAAATTCACGAACATTTCGATCCTGGATTTGGATCCTCTTCAGTGCGTTTCAAGATAAATTACGATAGAAAAACTAACATACGGTTCTAATTCTCTTTCATAATGGTTAAATTGAACATCCAAATTAAAGATAGTCAACAATGCAAGGTCAAAAGATAAAACGTTGACTGTCACTATGGATTATGAGTATAATGAGCTCAAATGAGTATAATGATCATTAATATATTAATTTTGTGCACCAATAACCGCAGCGGCTCACAATTTGTTTTCTTTTAAATAATTTAAATAATTTATAATATAAATAATACAATTCTAAAAATAATTATAAACTATTTTCTTTTATCCATAATTCAGAAAACGAGTATACATAGATAGCACATCACTACGAGTGTCAATTGTATCTCTTATGAAATTACGACATATACATTACGTAATAGAAATAACTCCTCGATGATCAAGATCGATGAAATTGGACCATGGCATCTCCAGCGACTAATCGTTCGAGAGCGTCGAAATCTCTAAACTGTCACAAGGACAAAGGAGATCATTGAGGCGGAGCTCTTCACCTTCGGAACCTCACAAAATTCGAACAGGATTACACGTCCGTTCGAGGTCGTGCTAATGTGTTACCGGCAATGAGAGGCGGCTAATTTCTATAATACGGCAAACGATGTAAACATCGTTAACTTAAGGATGTATGTATTACATCTCAAAACAATAATCTATAAAAATTTTAGATTATTCTATTATTATATATGATTAATTATAGGCATTAATAATTGCAGCAGCTCATATTGGCAATTTGTTTCTGTTTTGATTAATTTTTGGAGTTTTATTTATTGTTTATTTGTAATTTTAAATTATTTATATAATTACTTTTCAAAACTCAATTATGTTTATAGTATCCGTGTAAAATTTGAACACGATTCCCTTATTGGTTTAAAAATTATTTAATTTTTTTGTTAGTCTTGATTCTGATGTAAATTCGCATTTTGTA